TGGCATGCCTAAAACAAATTCGGCATGCCACTGGGTGTAGTATAAAAAATTATATTTATAATATCAGAATATAGATATATATTATATATACAGTGTTATAAATAATAATAATATTGTGGCATGCCAAAGACATGCCATGGCACAAATTTTAACAAAAGGCATGCCTTGTAGCATGCCAAATTTTTTTGGCATGCCAGACACCCTACTTAGCTGCCACAACAAAATGGTACGGCAGATTCTCAATTTTGATTGGCTAAGAACGACGATCAAAAAATTAAGCCGGAATTAGGGGAATCACTTATTACGTAAATATAGCCCCCCCCCTCCTCTAGGCCTAATTCTGGTACTCTAGGAGTTAATTTCGCCCCAGAGGGCTATATTTACGTAATAAGTGTTAGTTCCCTTACTCATAACCGCCCATTAAGTGAAAATTGTTCCTGGCCAATTTTACCATAATGCGGGCTTATTTTATAAAAATTTCTTTTTGTAATGAAAAAGTCAAAAGGTTAATTCCGGCCGGAAATTATAAATTATTATGTAATGCGGGCCAAAATTTGAAGATTCTCGGCCGTTAGCCAATCAAAATCGAGGATCTGCCGTGACCTTGCGCAAAGGTGACATCAATCTCGCGCGATTCAATTAATATAATTTTCACTATAACAATAAAATTTTAATTAAAAGAATTCACCATATGACTCACATAAAGTTGCGAGATGTAACTTTGCGTGTGTGTGAATAGTATAATAATGCATATGCGCGTTCCGAAATACCTTTTTGATATCATCTAGTCAGTTATCGTACATATGAGTTGAAATACTTTTAAATTCATCTATTTGTTCATCCTTGAGCCGTCAAATTAAGATCACGCTTCATTTATCTTTTATTATAACAATACATACTGTAATAATAGCCAGCCTCAGCAGATTTAGATAATATTCGAACAATTTTTTTATTATTTCTTTTGATACCGATTAAAATTAATCAACTTAAAAATATTCCTTCTGGCACGTTGGCACTTTTCGATAGCATTCGAAGGCCTTATATTTATCTTTTTCATGTACTGATGTCTCCATCCTAATTCGTAAAACATGATTTCGCTCAGATTTCAACAGTAACCGATTAAATCGAATTTAAAGGTTGTAAATTTCAGAAAGTTAATAAACCGGTTGGTTAAAATAAAAACTAGGAGTCTACATAAAAATTTTAATAAAAAATTTGTCGTTGTCTTAAATAAAATATTATATAAAATATATGTCATATTCTTAATCCGTATTTTTAAAAAAATTGTGAATACTATTTGACTTTCTAGGCAAAATTGACTGGAATGGAATGCAGGTTGGAGATAATATATTTTAAAGAGACAGGCAAGTTGTAACAATTTGATTTAACTACAAAACTGTGGCTTTTATTATTATTATTATTTTATTTGATTTTTTATGAAACATTAAAGTATTGGTATCTTTTAAGTGTATTACATTGTAATAAAGATTTCAGCCTAGTGCTAATGCCAAAGCATCGAACCACCAGAACCCACCAACTCGAGCAATTGTCTGAACAGAATTACTTATAAACTCTTTATTCCTATTAAACTCTTTATCAATTCTACTTAAACCTTCAAGGAACACTTCATAGTCTACTTGTACAGGTATAATAGGTTCACCATTTGTGTTTTGCCCATTCCACTCATCATCGTCATCATCCGTTAAGAATGTATCAGAATCAGAGTCTGAAGTATCTTCGTATTTCTTTGATTTGCCATCCCGTGAATGATCATAAAAAGATATATTTTCTCCTTGATAACGTGTATAAAGTATACTGAATTGAATTGTCAAGTCGAGAACGTCTAATATAGATTTATGAATGGGAATGGTCTTCGAAGTAACGTATATTATCGTTACATTTAATTATTACCATGCTATAATATATAGTTATAAGTAATGTATATTGTGAATGACATACCTTATCACTGAGCAAACATCGATTATATACAGCATGAATATAGTGGTCATGCAATGAAACCATCTCATCAATATCAAAAACTTTTTCTAATTTCTTGTAAAAATTTTCCGTTTCCGAAAGTAGTATCTGAATAGAAAAATAAAGATAAGCAATTAAAACAATGATCTATTTACAACGCATAATTTACCTACATTTCTCATCGCGTAATCCCATATTGTATTCAAAAACCATATTAACTTAATTCTAACACCATAAAACAAGACCATGGCAGTTGTCTTTTCTGCCATTTCATTGTCCCTACTTAAGTGTGAAAACGAAAGACGTTCTAAAAGATACTTGGCTCGCTTCACTTGGAGTAGAAAAACCGCTATGCGTTTGTAATATTGTAAGGTTTTACTTTGCATTATGTTGTTAATAGGCCATGGAATCTATGAAAAAAATCGATTACTACTAGTGCCAAAAAACTTTTACCCTTAAAATTATAATAAATACATATTTGATCGCTTACCCGATACTCAATGACAATTTTTTCAAATACTCTAACAGTAGTGATATTAGGCTTTTTTCCAGGTATGTCGTCTATCCACACGCTGACCAGACCTCCATCCAACCATTTCCATTTCCTCACTGTATTCAAAAAAATATCATTGAGAATATATGTATCATACCACATTTGTTTTTTATCTATCTACGATTAAAAATTTTTTTAATTAATGATAGTCTTTTTTTTTGCTGATAGATATAAAAAAAAATAAAAAAAAAAAAAAAAAGATGCACCAACTAACCCTGTCAAATAAGACATCACATAACAGGTGCATTGATTCTCCTTGCTGCATGAAATATAACCCTGCAAGAGAACGTAAATGCTTCCATAAGCGACATTTCTCAACTAAAGCATCATAAAGTTGCTGACCGATTCGTTCATATCTGGGCTGAATATAGCCTTCAAATCGTTCCTTTAATAGTTCATTAAAAGGTTGAAAAATAAGCATATCGTTTGTTCCTTTTGATTCTATTTCTACATCCTCAACTTTTTCGGTAGATGGTTTCCAAAGAGGAAATAAGGTTGATATTGTCTTAGGGAAAACATCAATAATATCATCCTTTTTGAGGTCAATTTCGTGATCAATTTCATGGTCTAAATCATTCTGATCATGAAGTTGACCATGAAATTTACCATTAATTTTATTATCTGAATTATTTTCAACAATTTCATCATTTGAATTATTTTCAACAATTTCATCATTTGAATTATTTTCAACAATTTCATCAT